AAAAAAAAAAAAAAAAAAAAACATGCAATTCATTCATGCGTTGTTCAATAGGTTTATGCATTGTGTGTACAGATGGGTGTGTGCGTTAGTTAAACACAATGTCATACCCAGTCTCTGTTGTTGACTAAGCTGGTAAATCACGTGTATCTCATAATATATAATAATATGTTTATGTTCTCTTTACAAAATGTTTCTGCAACGTCAATACGCACATCTTCTCCGCAGACTTGCAATGCCAACGCATCAGATCAGATTTTATATATATATATATATATATATATATATTATATATAATATAATATAAATATGTTAGGCATTTTTCAAATCTATATTTAAAAAGTAATTACTTTCATTTTATTTATTTGCTTTTTTAAATTAAAATTTTTCTTATATTGTTTTTCAAATAAAATTCAAGTTTTTTTATTAAAATATTTAATAATACATTTTTTCCCCTTTCTCTGATTACTTTTCATAATTGTTCAGTTATTGCTCCCATTGCTGTTGCTCTTGATGCAGCCGAGGATATGAGTGATTTATTATGATTGCTTGTCAGTTCATTTATAAATAGAATGTAAGGCAGATGGTTTTTTAATTGATATAAAGAAGAAAAATAAAAAAAAAAACAAATGAGAAAATTATATTCAACTATGGCCGCAATCTTTAACACCTATCGCGTTTATCTTAACAGGACTTGAGAAAGGATGGATATTTTTTAATAATCCCCAATATTGGGCAATTGTGATCGATTTTATCCATTCGATCGCTCTCAAAATGATAAACGCGGAAAATTTTATCATAGTATATTTCGTAGTTTATGAGTAAAAAAGTAAAAATTTGATTAGTTTTGCTGGTCGCTTCCTTTGGCTCATTTCGCCCATTTTCCATATCAAGCTGAGCGCAAGCACATGCAAATACGATGCTATACATCAATGCCTTATCTTAATTTTTTCGTATTAAAAAATTTCTACTAGATTCATTTGACAAACGGACATGACCCCATATTTGTTATTAATCAAAACTATATATACATTCTGGTGTGCCCTTTGTACTTTCCTCTAAATGTTACAAACGTTTTGATAAAATGAATATGTATCTGACCTCCTCCGGTTGGCGGACACAAATCTCTTTTTCATTCTTAATAATTAAAATTTTAATTTTTGTGACGTCTACTAGGACGTATGAGTGTTATCTCATTTCTTGTTTTCTTATCTATTACCCGCATAAGTAGCCGAGTAAGTAAGAATCGCGATCACAAAATCAGTGTTCGCGAGTTGAAATCTCAATGCTGTAGAGTAGTAAACTTTGATCGTAGATATCGTAGCTAGTGAGTACTCAGCCGATAAAGACATAACACTTACCGATTGGGCTCACATCCACTAGGCTGCAGCCATCACTTCCCTATTTTTATATATAATATCTTTCTCTTTCCTCACTTCTTTTTGATCGTCACCGCGAATGGGAGACATCCATTGCTCGATTGGCCATATAAAAAATGTAAGTAAGAAAGTTATATTCCGTCGCGATCGAATTTTTTTTATACCCACCTCCGTTATCCTAAAAAAGAAAAAAAAAAAAAAATTAAAAAAATTAAAAGAATTAAATTTTCATGTTCTATAACATAGAGTGGGCCCGGATTATTTTCGCTATTTTTAAATTACCAGTGTTTGTTGCATAGGCGTGTGAATATTGTAGGCGTGCCCTTGGAAAAATTTCAACCCCTTTTAAATTCTTCCGCAAATTTGCAGGCGATATCTTCATTTTCGCTAACGGGGTATATTTACCATATATACTACAGATTTGCGCATACAGACAGATCGACAGACAAAAAGACGGACATGTTTAGGTGCATTTCAAATTTGAAACTGGCCAAGAATTTATATACTTTATTGGGTTTTTGAAGCTTCTTTCTCTTTGTTATAAAAAAACTGAAAAACTAATTAAATTTTGATACACTATACTATTGGGTAGGAATGATCAATTTTTTCCAATTTTTTTTTTTTCCATGTTACAGCATCACCTGGAGAATATGCGTTCAAATATTTGTGCATTTATCTGCTACAGGCTCTGATTAATGATCATCAAACAAATTTTTCATTCCTTTTTAAAATCGGAGGAGTTCGCATTTTAGATACCACTGCAGGCGTACCATTCAACCGTTTCGGCCAATTTTCAATACCAATCTGCGTACAAGAACTTCCAATATTTTTGCCAAATTTGAAGTGGACATCTTCATTTTTATAGACAGGAGGATATTTACATTGGTTACTATACAGACAGACAGACAGACAGACAGACAGACAGACAGACAGATATGCTTAAATCGATTTAAAATTTGATGCTGATCAAGAATATGGTCAAGTATACATTATGGGATCTCTAAATGCTTTGTTGTGGGCGTTGCAAACGTTTTGAGATGATAATGAACATACCCCTTATACCTGGGTGACGTATATATAAAACTCAAACTAATCGCAATTTGTTTTCCTGTTTGCTTTACTTTGAGAAAATTCCTTTAGATATTCCCATGGCTATCAACCGAAACCCGTATAGGGGAGTCTATATTTTGATAACCATGTTATTATTAACAGTAACTTTGATTTGAAGTTTTGCTGAACAACTCTGTTGTCATTGATAATGGTATGAGCGCTGGATAGAATTTTCGTTATGTCTTTATAGTCTTTTCTCAGAGCGACATACATCGCAATGCAATGATTCCTGAATAGTTAGACATCTTCAGCATAATATGATATGTAGATATGTGTACTATAAGATATGCGTGTGGGGGGTACTATGGTATCATATCTAATCAGATTACAAAGACTATTGAAATCTTCAATTTATTAAGAAAAATAATTAGGAAAGAATTAATTATATCCAAAAATTTCAAGCAAAAACCAAATTGTCTCCTTAAAAGTGTGCCTCCATAAGGCCCAATAGAAAGTTCTTAAAACAAAGGAACTACGTCCGGGAGAGATATTTCAGGCATTAAAGCCATGAATAATTGGTTGGATGAACCTGATTATCGAGGGCTTTGCCTTCTTCGCATCCGCTTCTTCCCTGTTAGACATTATGTGCCGGACCCGTGCTTCATGCATGGATTATAAATTTATACAGCAATTCGCTTTTGTTGCTGTCAAGCATCCCCAAATACGTGAAAGTTGCGAACTTCTGATATGCGTTCGTTATATTCGTTTTATAGCGAGCAAACACGGCATCGCTTTTGCACACAGCTCCATTACATTCAAACCTTATGTTATTAGGTGAATTACAAGACTTGGTGAAGCACCTAACATGCCTGAAAACTCACGAGCTTTCCATTAGCCCAATAACATTTGCTGGTATTTGTTCACTTTGTTCACTTCTGAGGTGATCAACTCATTTGATCGACTGTCGCTATATTGGGGTTGCCAGCTTGTATAGTATCGTCTAAACTCTATCGCTTAATTTGGTCTTGCTGCTTTAAATGCAAGAACGCACTCGCTTAAAATACAATTTAGCTCGATTTTAATGATGCATGCAAAGAGAGCATTGAAATGAAAGCATTCTGTCTTACGACTACGAATAATTTTTTTTAATTCTTTTTATTTTGCGTTTCACTCAAAGATTCACTAAAAGATTTAATTTATTCGTGGCTGTCAAACAAAAACTGAACACATTAGCCTCTTCAAGCTGGCAGCTGAAGCGGCATAAGGTTAGCGGACTTGTCATTATGATTAACGAAATTCGCAAACGAAAGCCTTAGTCCAAACGTTATGTTGAATTTTTCTGGGACTATTTTCATAGCATTCTATATAAAATTGTGATTGAAAATGTGAATGAAAATTTCAAACATTTATTGTTATCTGCTTTAAGGCTCGTAATGACAACAGGCAACGTAGCACGACAATAACTCTCGTAGGCGCTAAAGTATGAAAAGTGAATATTAAGAGGACAAGATTTTAAAATGAAAAGCAACGCACAACTGCCATAAGCATTGCTATTGGCAGCACTGTGTTTACTTACTCGACCCTCATGTATGTGTCAATGTAAATAATTAAAAATAAATATATATTTAGTAAAATCAGTACACGCTTAGAATATTTATTTATGCATTTTTCTATAGCTAGTTAACGGGTAGTTAATATTTGAAGTATAGATTAACAGAAAGTAAATAACGAGCAATTTTACACATTATTCGCTAGCATTACTTTAGTGTAATATTCAAATAATTTGTAGAGCTGACAGGTATTCAAGATGCGCTTTAGAAAGACTAAAGCTTTCTCTTACGTGATTTATTTGAACTCTTCTTCTCTTGAATTTGTGAGCAATTTTGCACTTGGACTGCGTATCTATGCAATTATACGTTTGAATAAAACAAAATATTCGGATTTATTGCTCTTCTTCTATGGGGGTTCGTTTTTGTTCTTCTTTATTCTTAATATATTTCATATCTTCTGCTTATAGATATTTTAAACATTTTTGTTTTTTTTTTTTGTTTTTTTTTTTTTTTATATTTTATTTTCAATAATTTTGAATTTTGAATTTTCTTTCACGTATGAAATAATTTTCTTATTAAAGCGCGTAAACTTTAGAAAAAAAAAAAAAAAAAAAAAAAAAATTTTTTTTTGTTTATATAAAATGTTTTTCTTTTTCTTTTGAACACTACGAGCTAAACACGTTCAATAATTATCTTAGACTAAAAAGTAATAATAAAAAGTCGGGGCATGTAATTTACTGATGCTTAAGTAAAATGAAAGTAAAAAAAAAAAAAAAAAAAAAAAAAAAAATGAAAAGAAATGAAATTGAAAAGAATAGAAAAAACAAAAATATCTTTACGGCATAAAAGACATAAACAGTAGACCGAGAGTCACATTTCGTTTGACGATAAGAAAAATATTTAACTGCTGGTGGGTAGTAAGTAATTTAAAACGTGTGCGAAACGACAACATATTTGATTTTGTAAGTCATCAAAATCCAGAACGAAACGAAAGAAATCGAAATGCGTTACTCGCCTCAAAACGAATCTCGAACGCCCATCAGCTTAGCAAAATGTTTATATAAAAAATGCTTAAATGTCGCAACTTTTCCGCTCGATTGGAGTATAGCACCATAATAAATATATTGTTGTTGCTGAAACTGTATTGTCTTTTACTTAGGTAATTCAAAAAGAAATTATTTATACGCAATTTCAAGTTCACATCTCTGTTCGGTATTAAGGAATGCATATTGAAAGCACATTCAAAGTTTCTTTTTATTTCGCGATAAGTTTACCTTTTTGAACGGGTTTATCAAACGTCCATAACCGTTTTTAATATTGTTCGGGAAATTTGAATGAAGACATGGGACATGGATTTTCACTTTCTCGCGATAGTTTGGCGAGAATAAGAAATTTAATATCAAGCGGACAGACAGACTCATATATATGTAAATATATATATATAAATAAATTGCTGATGCTTATAAATAATTCTTCTTAATTAAGTGTAAAACGACCCAAGTAGCATAAAAAAATTAATATAATCCTCGCCTTGTACTACGAATATAAAAGTTGTCAGCTTAGTTCACCTTCACCGAATTTCTTTAGTTTTCTCACCTTACCTCTCTCTCTCTCTCTATCTCTCTCTCTTTTTATGTGAGTGCATTCGGTTACGCTACATTGTCTTTGACATAATTTATATTTATAAGCAGTAAATAATTGGACATGTGAACGGATGGTTTGCACTCCTTTCCTTTCGCAACTTACCTCTTTAGGGTTTTATAGGGAATTGGAAACAAGCGGGGCAAAATGAGCTCACTTGAGCTTGATCTACATGTCTGACGTTTCGGTTGTCAATTGCAAATGACAGGCATTCATTGATGATAATGAAAAATGTTTATGAAAAAATGCATATAACGTGCATGGAAAGATATGAATATTTGTCATGTGTGGGTAATTTTTATTATTATTATTATTATTATTGTTGTTGTTGTTTTCGATGATTCTGTTGCTTCTATTTCTATTATTGTTGTTGTACCGAAAGACATACTCAACCGTCTTAAATGTATGTGTTTGTGTGATATCTTTCTCTCCAAGTTCTATAAATACTTGAACGTAAAAGTTGAAGCTTAAAGCGTATGTAAGCACTTTTGTTAGATTTATGTACTCACATCTATAGTACATACATAATAGCACATATATAGAGCAAGTGTTGTAATGCATACTCATGCATATCTATCATGAGTTGTGTTGAATTTCTAATCAAATGTGTGTTAAATACGTGGAATTTTTAATTTCTATACTTTTTATATAACTAAATGAATATCAATAACACTTATACGCCCCGACTGTTTATCGCTACTGCTCTTATTCATATTCAATCGAAACAAAATAACGGTTCATTAATATCATTGCAACACTTGTAACAGCCATATATTTTCAACAGAACGATATAATCATTCCATCCCTTATTCTATTAAGCTCCCAAAGACGAAAGTGCGAAGGTAAATAGCTTCATATTCCACAACTCACTATTTCACTTACAATATCCCCATCGCACAATACGATATCAGCAAACCATCAAATAAGAATTAAAGCA